CTCTGGTCTTTAAATCATTGTCTAGATGCCCAAAGGTTCATATAAGTCAACTCTGTTTCAGGGTTCTGCATTCCAAACAATTCTGGAAAGACTGCCCAGGACTGGATGAATAATTAAGGTAAAGCTGTTTTTACATGAATATATGCAGTGTTGAAATAATGCTTCCTTTCTTCTTTTTATAGTGTTTATTGTTTACTACAAACTTAAAAGTTTAAAAATACTATTTGGGTCGCTTTTTTCTCAATATGAAAAAAGGACCAATTTAATATAATGTCAGACACTGGAATTATTTACTGATTGCAGTTTTCTTTCACAGATAATTTTAGGTTTGAACATAAAATCAGGAAAGTGGATAATAGGAAAGGAAAACAGCCCAAACCCAGTGGTAGAAAGGCTTAGTTATTTACATATTTTGGTTAATCACTGAATAAAGTGAAGGGTTAACATAATTTGTTTTAGGAAAAATATAAAGTTTTAAACATATATAAAGTTTTAAAAAATAAATCTTCAATTTATAACATTGAAGATTTTATCTTGAAAAACAAAAAGAGTAACTGAGAAGGAACATCACATGCAGCAGATGGGAAAGGCTACAGGTTTGGGCTGTGTCACTGTTAAGTGTAAAAGAGAGAGTGTGTCTCACCTTGTCTTCTTGTGTGACCATTTTAATATAGTATTTTTAGAGATATTTACTGGAGGAAATGGATGAATTGAATAGAATAGAAGCACAGCTTTAGATTGTGAATGACTGAAATTAATTATCTAAAAATAGAGCTATACTCACATTTATTAATTAGACAGGGGGAGAATTCTCAGGGGATGTGGGTATCGTTGCATTTGGGGCATCTTGCAGTGGGTATCCTTGCATTTGGAGCATATGGTGATGGTTTTTATTAAATGTCCAGGTGATTAGACGAACAGTGCTTTATAAGTTAGTGAAAATTTAATTTGACTGATGACATAGATCATATTCATGGACAGTTGGTTGAGAGTTTTATTTTTGACAAACTAAAGAAATTTAGGTGTGTGTTCTAGAAAAAATTGGTGTTTATTTTACAGGTCAACCTCTTCTAGTCATTCAGATTTATATTTCAATAATGTTTTGGGGTTTTTCTTGACAGTCTTTCTATGTATATTTTTAAGAAGTATAAACAGTTCAATGCTTAAGTATTGAGACATGTAGTATTGGGGCTAAACTTTTGAGTTTTCTTTAACCATGTTATTTAATTTATTTTCATAAAGAAAAAGTACCTCTAGGGGTGGCTCACTATCAATTACATACAATGTACACATTTTGGAATTTACTGTACCCACAATTCATTATGTTATTAAATATCATGCATTAGCATGTATAGCATAAAGAGGTCACTATGTTAATATCATATATGCTACATATCCCTGTACATTTATGGAAACTACTGTTTGGGGAAACAGGAACTACAATTACGCAGGAATTTAAGATGTTTCTTCATGTTTAAGATGATGAGAGAATCCATGTTCCTGAAGAGCAGAGCTAGAAAGTTTGTAAGCAAAATAACATATTCAGATTTTATGAAGAGTCCTTTATACCTCTCCATAGGTTGCTTTAAATCTTATATTAGCAAGCATGTAATATTCTTAGCAAAGAGAAAAGACCTCACTATGGGGTTATTTTAACTTCTCTAGTTCTCCCTAGATATTATTTCTAAGCTGTGTCTAAGTAGAGGAGAGGAATGAAAATGCTATAATATTAGCCCTAGCATTAGGGAGTAGTCAAGTAAACACAGTTCTGCTGTTACTGGCCATCATTTCTTCTAGGATGTACCTCAGACTGACTGTAGTGAATGTTTCTCTGGAAGTTAATTTCTGTGAGAAATCATGCCAGAGACTAAGAAGCCATCTGATTATCAATGTGCGACTAGAACGGTACTGTTTGGAAGGTTAAGAGAATTTAATAAAAAAATGATATTAGATTGATTTCATTGCCAAAGCTATGTTCATAGATCTCAGATACATTTTGTATGTGGATTTAAATCACTTCCTTGGATCCAACATAGTTGGCTTTTAGAAGTTGCATGACCAGCTACACCCTGTTTGCTCAACCAAAGGGTACATGGCATGTGAGGTTATCTGCTACCTTAATCTAGATTTCAGAGTAGATTCGTCAGAGCTGGTTGGCATGAAAGACAGACCAGATAGGGATGGTGGGAAATGCTCTGACCATCACTCTCACTTATCAGGCAAAATAAATGTTTGCAGTAACTAGGGAAGGTCATAACTTTTGTCTCTGGACTCAAGGACAGTTTTGCTTCCAGGTTGTTGATGTTCTCTTTGAACAACATAAGTAAAAATTTGAGAAATTTATTTTTTTGAGAATCTTCTATACTGAGTTTCTTAGGTACATTTTCAAAGAACAGGATAGTATAGTGTTTAAAAAACAAGAAGTTGGATATAAGGAATTAGCTAGTTGGAATATTTAGACATCTCTTAATAAATGTCATGAAACAAGATCTTCTAATGCTGATAATCTTCTAAATACTTTTTTTTCAAGTTTTGATTTTGCATCTTCATGAATGAGTGAACTGAAGCAATAATTCTGCACTGGAATATGTTCTGCAAAACATCTTTGTATCACAGAATAACAACCCCATCAGAAAGAAAGGCTAGACTACACAAAGTTCCATCAAATCAAATTTGATTTTTCTTTTAGAATAATTTTGAATATTCATTGTGCAACAAAGCTATTCTTCTGGTAACCAGAGGAACACTTTCCATTTCACTTTGAAATATTAACCCATGCATACTTGTATCTACAAAGGAAATCATATAAAGGTGCATTGGTCTTAGTAGAATATAACACCAGGCAACGTGCTAGATATTGGTAATATGTAGAGTCTACAAACTGGACATCGTTTCCATGTTCATGAAGCTTTCTGCCTACCGGAAGAAACAGGTTTTTTTTTTTGTTTTTTTTTTATCAAACAAGCACAACTAAACATGTAGGTGCAAAGTGTGACAAGTACTCTGAGGCAGAGGAGGACATGCTGTGTGAACATGTAACAGGGGAGTTAGATTTCATGTGGGGCCTCTGTGACCACATGGCATTTAAAGATTTTCAGGCTCTTTTAATTAACTTTGGGAGAAACCTGAGTTCAGAAGAGCATCCGAGGCAGGGGGAACAGAATGTTAAAAGGTCCTGAGGTGGAATGGGAAAATCCAGTTTCTGGCTCATGTTTCATTCTCAATATTTGTTGAATGAATAAATAAATGCCACCTGCAAAATACTTTTGCATTGAAGCAGAATAGTGTAATTAATCATGAAAATAAATTTTAGCCATTATGATGTAGTGTAAATGCTTCAAAGCATGTACTTTGTGCTGCAGGCAAATGGTTCAGAATATCTAGTTTCTCCCAATGTTCAACTTTTTTAAATTTTGCTTTTAGCTGCTGTTCCCTTAAAATAGATTGGTAATAGAATCTTCAGAGCTAAATATGTGAGCTCTGCAAAAGTGTTCCAACTTTTGTGAGAAGATGTCTCTTGACTGGGGCCAAAATTAGGATGAGGGGCCCAGGTCTTAATCCACTACAAGGGTCATAACATCATGTTATATCACCTCAAAAGCATTGACTAAGTATTTTATATATGGTAAAGTAGCTTTAAGTTTAGGTCTCAATTTCCTTATTTGTGAAGGGTACCTACCTTTCCTACAATGTTTGTGAGAGTTCTGAGAACTGTAAAGTTCTCTTTTGTAATTGCCTAAGGTATACTTATATGCATGTGTAGATATGAGTATAAAATACTGATTATTGGAAGAGGGAAAAGGGATTTAAATTTATTAAGGGCCCACTACACACCAAACGTTGACATGCATAGCATAATTTAAACCCTCATGGTACTGCTTCGTGGTAAATGATATTTTCCTCATTTTACATGTGGAAAGACACAAGTAAGAAGTTAGCTAATTTGGCCAGGATTTATACCCACTTTTATCATCAAAACCAGAGTTTCTGTTCCCCATGTGGGCTTGAGTTCTCTGTAGCAGAGATAGCAAGCAGTCCAGAGGTGGCAGAGCATGCAGGCTACTTAATCTCTCCGTGACTCCATTACCTCATCTGTAAAATGGGAATAAGGACAAAAATAGTACCGGCCAAGAGTGATGGTGGAAGGAATTCAAGTCAACTAATTTAAGATATACTTTAGTTATTTGTAAAGTCAATCAGACTTCGTAAAGGACTGGATGCCAGAGGAGAGAAAGAAAACATTATAATGGAAGACTGACATTTCTTGATTTGAGTAGCTGGGTAAGGGGTGACAACATTCTTTCGATAGGAAACATTGGAAGGAGAGGAAACTGGCACCAGTTAGATTTTGGAGACATTGAATTTAAACTACCTTTGAGACATGCACGTGTATACATCAGTTAGGCCAAAGGACACATGGAACTAGAGACAAGAGTAGAGACCTGGGCTGAAGATGACCTTGAGGAACCCTTGGTGTATAAAATCTTAGCAGTGGATTGGAAGAAGGAGGGCTTAGGACCTAGCCTTGAGGAATTTAAGCAGAGAAACTTCAAACAAAATGATACTTTTAAAAAGAAAAACAAAACAAAAGCTCTGACAAATAACAGCAGTGTTATTAACAAACGGAAAATTTGAAGACTTCCTAGGAGCCAGAAAGCAGATAGGGCTGGGAAATCTATGAACGAAAAAACCAGGGTAAACCAGGGTATGGAGTGGGAGGGACCATGGGAGCCTGGTAGCAGTTCAAGTTAAGTCAATATGTACAAAGAGGAGGATTGGACCACAGGCAACCAGTGACCAGTATTCACCAAGCAAGCTCAGTTTGGACATCTTGGTCAGTTTGGGCTGCCACTGGTGCCCATCGGATAAGGCTGGTTGTAAAGAAAATCTGAAGATGGACTCTAGAATAGGTCTAAGGGCCACCAAAGCAGACAAAGATGGGCAACAAGCAGGACTGGAAGCTACGCCAAGAGAAAATAGATCACAGCATTTTGCTCCCAGAGGAACCTCTCTGTCCCAGAGGGCCAGCTGTGTCTGGGCGTGGGCTCCTCTAAGGGCACTCAGACAGGCCCTCCAAGAGAGCCAGCCATCAGTGACAGGCCTGCAAGACATCAGACCAGCCCTGAGAACTAGCTGTCGAAGTTAGCCCATATACTCTCCATTCATAAATATGACTAGACAACTGAGGATTGCTAAGACTGTAAGGAAAACCAGCAGCATGAAAGAGAAGAGCCAAGAATGAACGAGCAGAATAACTAACTCCAGAGAAAAAATAGATAATTTAAGGAACAAAAGGAACCCTTGAAAATTTCCAATCAATATTCTGAGAAAGAGTTAAGAAAATAATTGCATCTGAAAACAAACAACAAAGGTAATACGAAAAAAGAGGAACGGGATAGGAACACATTATTAGAAGTTAAAATGTGATTGACTAATTAGTGGACAAGTTGAAAAATAAAATGGATACAGGCTAAAAGTAAATAATGTTTATCTACTCTATTCTCAATACTCCCGTCTGATATTAAGAGTGTGTGTGTGTGTGTGTGTGTGTGTGTGTGTGTGTGTGTGTTTTCCCACACTCACCAATTCTTCAACACCAGCTGGATATCCTACAATTCAATTCAAATCTGATACTATCTACTAGGCGTTCCTGTCAGATCCCCAGGTTAAGGGCTCAGTTCCACAAGGCTGCCCCTACTTCAGATGATATGGCAAGTCCAGACATCCTGTACTTCTGACAAAGTAAATTGAATGGAATAATTTGCTAGAGTTGCTTACAGAAACTCCGGAAAGCAGTTTACTTACTAGATTACCGGTTTATTATAAAAAGATAGAACTCAGGAACAGCTGGATGATGCATAGGAGAAGGCATAGGGAAACGGTGTAAGCTTCCACACTCTCTCCTGGTGTACCACCCTCGCAACAATTCTGTTGAGATTTTTATGGAAACTTCATTACTTAGGCAGGATCAAATCATGGACCACTAGTGATTAACTCAACCTTCAGCCCCTTCTCGCACCCAGGAGGTTGAGGGTGTGGTGCTGAATGTTCCAACCCTCTCACTTCTATTCCTCTGGGTGGTGTTGAAGATCTTTCTCTATATCTTTGACGTCTTGAACTACCTCATATTAATGAATATATTCATTTTCACTCCTCCTGCTTGAAGTACTATGCGCTTTTTTTAAACCCTAAGAGCTACCATCTTTTTTCCAGTTCCAGACCATTCTCTACCATCATGTCTTTCTATTCTGTGACTCCCTAGTCTCACAATTCTCCCCTATTAGAATAACTATTACAGTGTGTTTAAACTTCTTATTCTTGTTTTCCCCCCATGTCTCAACGTCATATTTTTCTTTATCTCCTTGTGATATAACTTGAGTGATTCCCACAGATCTATCTTCCAGTTTTATTACTCTACCTTGAGTGGAATTTTCTTTATTTCAATGACTGTGCTTTTTATTTTTAGAATTCTCTCTTGGCTTTTTAAAAAACCAGCCTGATCTTCTATTCTAAAGATGCTATTTATTATTTTGAATCTTTTTATTATTTTTATTATATTAATTTTAAAGTCCCTTTTTAATTGCTTTGCTGTAGTTAACTCAGGTGTGAATGTTGTTCTCATGCCTATGACACTCTCCCAAGGAGTTTCCATATGTGCTTGGTAGCTTTTGTAATTTGGAGTACAAGTTGCCTTCCACAGATATGCTGCATCAACACCAGATTGTGGAAGCCTTTCCATATATACATATATTTGTAAGGGGGTTTAGGGATTTAATGAGTTCTGAAGTATTTTTTTGTTTGTTTCTCTGCTCAGGATTTTATTACCAAGAACCACATCTGCCAAGAGTGATAGTATTTCCCCCAATATGGTTCAACAAGAAATGAATGATTCTAATAGCAGAAATTTCATATGAAATTGTATTGATAACATGATGGATTCATCGCATGTTTTCTTTTCTTTTCTTTTCTTTCTTTTTTTTGACTCAATGCCAGTCCACACTTTTTCAGTTACAACTGAGAAAACTAAGGGGCAAATAGTTAAATAACTTGTGCTGAGATCTCATGAATTAAAGATAGAGGGGAGTCTAAAAGCTAAATATCTTCGTTGTTAAAATGTATTTTAATTTTATGTAGATGGTGACTGATACTGATTCAAAGATAAACCTGAACTCCCTTTTGTTTCTATTCTTAACATTGGCTTCATGATCCAAGTGCCTAGAAAGTAGCTCCCTGAGCCCAATCCTACCCTGGGTTGCATGTTATCAAGCATTTTGGTGGTGTTAATTCTTTCATGCACAATTAGCAAATTAAAGTGGTAAGATCTGGATGTTACTCCTAGTAGAGACCCTGATAGATTCTGCATTGGTAGATCTTATTTGTCATCAACTTACTTTTGTATCCCTTTCTTTTAAGTCTTGCAATCTGCTTACAAATACCTAAAGGTTTGGAGGTAGAAGAGGGTTAAGGGAGGATAAGTGGTGACAGAAGGAGCCTTGATTTTAGGGCGTGAACACACAAGCAATATACAGATGATGTACTACAGAATTGTACACTTGAAACCTATATGACTTTATTAACCAATGTCACCCCAATAAGTTCAATAAATATAAAAAAAACATAGCTAAAGCTTCTTGAAGACTGTTGCTACATCTTAAGATTTATTTTTTTCTTCCCACGGTTACTAGCAAAGCATCTGCTAAGTTCACATACACAGACACTATATAAACATGTGCTTGCCCTAACCCGTTTGGCTCAGTGGATAGAGTGTCAGCCTACGGACTGAAAGGTCCCAGGTTTGATTCTGGTCAAGGGCATGTACCTTGGTTGCGGGCACATCTCCAGTAGGGGATGTGCAGGAGGCAGCTGATCGATGTTTTTAACTCTCTATCCCTCTCCCTTCCTCTCTGTAAAAAATCAATAAAATGCATTTTTTTTTAAATGTGCTGATTTGGCAATTCACTAATAATTTTCCTTCTTCCTGCAATTCAATTCAATCTTTCTGTGAATATTTATGTGAAGTTTTCAGGAGTTTATTTCCCTTCCATGTTTATATAGAGACCATACACAAAATAGGTGGTTCATATTCTTTCAACATTTAAAGAAAACTATAATGATTTATTTTATGTTCTATTTGCAGAACAGAGTGTACTGAACACCAACACAAAGTGGAAGAGCCTTGAGCTGGAGGTACAGTATACTGTTTACACTGAAGGAGCTCGTGTGTGGACAAGGAAGCTCTGACGGCTCAAATGGATCCTGTGGAACTGGCAAATGTCAACATGGGACCTGATGATGAGAGCAGCAGTGGAGAAAGTGCTCAAGACAGCTACTCCGGGATGGAAAACTTAGAAAAGGCAGCAATGAGCAGGTACGAGGTTAAAAATGGCCAGGTTCCATGGGAGAATTAGACAGGTTTATGGACATGGACAACAAGGTGTTTGTTGGGAAGAATTGAATGCATTACCTGTTTGAGAGACAACAATGATATGGATGTTAGCACATCAACTCCCTGATCCTGAAGTACTGATTATTGCACCATTTTTATATGTCAATCCTTTGTGTGGCTAATTCAGAATTAAAGTTACGTTGTTCCTATCCTCATTAATAATATAGAATAACTGAAATGATATTAGCCTATCACCTCTCTTACCTATCGGACCATTCTATCTTAGAGTCTTCTTCCTTGACTACCTTTTAACATTTGCTCCATCTCCAGAGTGCTGTAGGGATTCTTTTCTCACTAAAAGTGCCCTATCAGGAGGCTCATTCATAACTTTCATGGCTTTTACCCACTAAATATATGCTGTATCTTTAGCCTGTTAGACTTCTTAACTGAAGTCCAAATCATTATATGCCCTGTCTGTTACACATCTCGACTGGATGACTCATGTATCTGAACTGCTTTATTTATGAAGTCAAAGTTGTAATGTCTAACATGGAAGTCCTGTGATTCCTTTCAAACCCTGCTCGTCTTCCAGTAATTCCCACGTTGGTGAAAGTCCCCACTGTCATTCAATAACTCAACCAAAAGACCTCAGTTGGAAAACCACACACCTCCTACCCCAAACGACACATCCAGTTGGGTCCACCTCATTAATGTTTCAAATTCACTCTCTTCTCTGTATGCATTCTATTGCTACCTACTATAGGCCCTCATCCTCTCTCACCTGTCTATCACCTGATTGGGCTCCCTGTTAATACATTTTGTTCTCCTCCAACTAGCCCTCCACCTTCTTGCAAAAGTAATCTTTTTTTAAAAAAAATATTTTTAATGATTCCAGAGAGGCAGGGAGAGGGAGAGAGAGATAGAAACATTAATGATGAGAGGGAATCATTGATTGGCTGCCTCCTGTACGCCCCCCCACTGGGGATCAAGCCCACAAGCTGGGCATGTGCCCTTTGACAGGAATTGAACCTGGAACCCTTCAGTCTGCAGACCAATGCTCTATCCACTGAAGCAAACCAGCTAGGTCATAAGTAATATTTTACAAATGCAAATTGGCTCATGTTCCATTCTTGGGTAAAATCTTTCCATGGCTCCCCATTAATGATAAGATAAATATGAGACTATACATTGTTTGGCATGTAAGCCCCTTCATGGTCTGTCCCTTACTTCACTCGCCTGCCCTATCTCTTGCCTGCTCCCTGTGTTGCTCTCCTATCTTGCCTTGATGAGCCGCTCACAGATCCTTGTGCCTTCACGCATTCTTCTCGGTCTCTCTGGAATGCCCTCTTTTAGTATCACCTACCCACCTTCCCCTTTCTCTCCAGTGACTCCACTCGCCTCCAAGATTCAGCTTAATAGCAGGTCTCCTAGGAAGCCTTCCCCCAGGTAGAAGTGGCACCCCCTCCTTTGCACACCCTCTCCCTATTCAGATGCTCATCATACCACTACAGCAGGCTAATGGCTTCTGTGGTCCCAGCATATGTCCCACTGCCTGGTACATAGCAGGTGTACAATAGTTACTTGGTAAGTAAATTAATTTCTCACACAGTGTTGTATAATACAAGTTATGCATGACTTAAGATACCCAGAAGGAAATTTTTGAAGTAAGGAATATTATCTTCATGGGGGTTTGTCCTGGAGGTGGGAGTGGCTAGGGGGAGGGGGTGTCAATCGGGGGAAAAGGAGACATATGTAATACTTCAAACAAACAAACAAAAGAATATTATCTTCAAACAAGGATGCCTCATTTTATTCACAACACCCAGGAAGGGCCATCAGGAGTAAGTATAGCTCTTCCTCTAAGGAGTCAGTGCAGTGAAGTTTAGTTGGTGAGCTAGAAAGGCCCTGGAACCCTGGCCAGTGGGACCAGTGGTTAGAGTGTTGGCTTGTACACCAAAGGATCTTGGGTTAGATTCCTGGTCAGGGGCCCATACCTGGTTGCAGGTTCTATCCCCAGCCCTAGTCGGGGCATGTGCGGAAGGCAATCAATTGATGTGTCTCTTTCATATTGATATTTCTCTCACACTCTT